CCAAGATATAAACATTTTTAAATGCATTTAAGTGCAGTGGGGTTGGACATTTTTCTCTGGAGCCCATTTTTAGTAAATTTGTTGTTATGCATAACAGTTTTTAGCTTTAAGCTCTAAGGTTTTAGTCCACAAATTGTGAAATTAGCATTGAACATTTTTGTTATTTGATTGCTAAATAATGTCGTTGTAAAAAAACTATTATTTTAATTGGGTGAGACAAGAAAAATTAACTTAAGATTAAGTATCAACAAGCAGTACACTAAATAATTATTATTTCTAAGTCGTTGAAATACAATATTAAAAAACATTTTTTTTTTAGCTTGTCAAAATATCAAAATGACAGTCCTAATTATATATATACTTCCATAGGACCGAGCTGCGAATTAAAACGAAGACCGTAAAGTGTCGAGAAAACCGTCGCCTAGGCGATCGCCCCCTCACCCGGCCCAGACCTTTACGGCCCGAGTTGCCATTCCGCCATAGACGTGGAGTGTACATTCCGAGGGTCAAGCACTACGATTCAAGTGTTTTATAATTAAAAGAAGTTTTAGCCGAGTAAACGAATATCGGCTGGTCTAGGCCTCGAGGTCGGTAAAAGGCCAATTGAAAGGTTCAGGGATCCCCGAGGGTCATAGCCGGCTGCACTTGCCCTAAATGGTCGTCTAGATAGCTTTCGGAAGCTTTTCCCCGGATAGTCGATCATCCTACAAAACGGTCCAATTTTAATAGAGGATCACAACACGCGGTCATGTGGTTGGTTGATATGATATATTACGTGGAGATGCGCATTTATACGCTACTGTTTTAAATCGTATAATTTATGATTTACTGCGTAAGAACCACGGTCCACGGTGACTGGTGAGTTATAAAGAATCTAGGAAAAAAAAGCCCCGGAAAAAAAAGCCCCTAACAACATTCATCGGAAAAAAAAGCCCCGTCATAGGAAAAAAAAGCCCAATACCAACTAAATACATTATTCTTTTTTATTATGATTTATATAATTAATTATAATCATAATATCCATAATCATAAATATAATATTATAAAATAATATACTAGTAAATTATTTTATTATATTATTATGCATCTAATTTATTATACAAGGTAATACATTTATTTTCTTAAAAGGTAACTATAAAAAAAATGACATCTAGTATATGAAACATTGACTCGACACGACACTAATAAAAATAATAATAATAATAATAATAATAATAATAATAATAATAACTAATTATATCACAATTAAAAATACACTATTCATTGTAGTTTGTTGTTTGTTTATAATTAAAAATTGTTTTAGGGTAGTTCATAGCAAAAATAAAATTATAAAATTGTATTTAAAAATACAAATATACAAAAAATCAAAGATAAATAATATTATACTCTTTAATTTAAAATTTAAAATAATGCATAATCATAATTTATAATGCATGTACTGAAATAAATGTATAAAAAACCTCACAATAAAATATATATAAATTTAAATAATACTTAAAATTGAACGCGTAATACCTAGGCATATTGTTTAAAAATTTAAAATTATAAAATGTCGACTATAATAAAAAAAGTGATATGTATTTCGTAGGTACGGGGCTTTTTTTTCCTATGGTGGGGCTTTTTTTACCGTATTTTTTTTCTGGGGCTTTTTTTTCCGGGGCTTTTTTTTCCGAATACCGTTATAAATTATGTTCTAAATTAGGCGTCAAATCGAAGTGTTCGTTTAATAACATGGACTGCAGCAGATTCCTTGTAATATTATTATTATTATGTATGGCCATGATTTTACGATGAAAACCGAGTGTTCTAAATACGAATAAGACCCGGCACCCGATCAAATTCCATATTCCGCGATCCAAATATGTATGTAATAATATCATACTATATATTTATACGATATTCACGAAATGTATATATTATTATGTTGTATTATGTAGGCACCTACTGTGCGAGAGACGTTACGGTATAGCGCGTCGCATCGTCTCAATAATTGTATGTAAATGACTCAAAGTACGAAGCACACACACACAATATCTTATATAGGTATTATACTTATCCAATTACACAACCAAATTAGACTCACTCGGCTGAAATGTAAGCCACTACATTATAATATTATTATTATACTGTCCCAATAAGTGAACGCGCTTGAACAGACTGGACTCGGAACTGGTGCCACGCGATTTATTATTACCTACATATTTACATAATTAGATATAACAAATTTCACCTAGAACCATAATATAATATATGTATGTGTTTTAATATATATCGGTGTGCATAGAAACTACGATATGTTATTATTAATAACGATATTTGCATTAATTACGTTTGAAAAAATTTCTTATTTGCGACAGGTGGCTCTACATAACATAAAATGTTTATACAATATAATATATTATTGTATACGTGATGGTTCACTAAGCATGTTCACCTCACTTTTACCGACGCATTTATTCAAATCTTGAATTTTAAATTGTTTAAGTATAGGTATACCTACTGTAAGACTATTTACATTTTGAAATGCTCTTTTTTGTTGTAAATTGCTAATCAGATGGTTTTGAAAAATGCCGATGTATTTAAATCAATAATCATTAGATTAGTTTTTGAGTTATATGTCTTTGTACTTAGAACGATAGGTCTATGATTGGTTTCGGGGATAGGATGGGGGGTTATAAATTATGATAAAGTGAAAATTATGTTATTATATTATGTTAAGTTATAAGTTAAAGGTTAATTCTTTTTAAAGTAAATATTCGAATAAATTTTACCCATATTTCATAAGAAACTATTATTAAATTCTACTTACCGGCATTAAAAAAAAAAAAACAAAAAAAAACATATAATTAACTGTGAAGAGGTTAATTTTCCTTTTAAATACCTTTGTATTGTCGACATAACACTCTTAAATGATATAAAAATCGAAATGTTTGAAAATATGAGTCTTAAGTCTAAGTATACTTAAAATTTAAATATTCCAACAATTAAAATTTAAATAATTTCATTATAAAAGTAAAAATATAAGCATGTTTGATTAATGATCCTGTATGTAAGTATATGACTATCTCTAGAGCTCGAACTACCCGAACCATGTGCATTATTAAATTATTGAAACAATAGTTAACCTAACGCACTTATATCCAATGAACTTCGGTCAAGACCATGGGTATTATTTTAACCCACTTATGAGGAATTAATAAAATCACAATAAACGAGTTAGAAGTATGATGGTTAATATTACTTTGTAATAGACTGCTTAGTAAAAGTTTATTTTGTTTAAAATTTTAAATACCTTAGAAATTGAGTTGATTTGTTGTGCACACGATTTTGCGTATGCAGTGCACTACGGTATATTATGACTTCCGGTCAATAAATATTTATCAGACACCAATTAATATCAAAGTTATACCTTATAGTTATAGTTTCGCTGGAGTTTAACTGAAACAAAACTTGTTATCACGTTAACAAGTTATCTATACCAGCCATTTTACAGTTTTGTATGAGGATTATTATATTGTATGATTATATTATATGATATTGTGACATAGATTATTGGTATTCGCATGGGTGTGTTAACTGCTCCGGGAAAAAATAAGTAATAGGTTAGATGCATGTAAACTGTGATAAAAAAAAGGTTATTTCTAAAAAATTGATTTTTTTTTTTAAATAAGTAACTGTCAGAAAATTACATAAAATAATAGTAAATTACAATATTTTACAAATTATTATTTTTAAACTGAAAACTAAAATGTTCCTTCATAAATATGGAAGTCGAAAGGCAAGAAGTTTCGTGTATATTTACCGACAGATCAGTAGGTCACGCTAATATTTTGATCCAATAAGTATAATTTTTATTGAGAAATGCCTTGCGATATAGTTTTTTTACATCTCCGTTTCATTTTGCCAGCAATGTACGTTATATTTTTTAATATTAATTGTAATTTTGAAAACTTAATTATTTGTACATATCCATGTTAACTATTTAAAAACTACAATACCATAACTTAAAAAATATAATATACATTAAAAGTTTAAAAATTAACTTTAAAAAATAATAGGTACAGCAGACTACTATAATACCTACAACAGCACTCACCGCAGTATCACATTATTCGGAATTATTTCGCTAGTCGATATTGATGGGGCTTTCTGTTCCAAATCTATAAGAGTTAAACGAAAACAATACTAATACAGTTAACATTAATTATCGAGTGTTTATTGAAATGATTATTCCAGTCGAACTGTCGGAGTACCTATATTTTATTCGGCCTTTTGCAAGATTATTAATCTAATGGCGCAGATGACACAGTATAATAGTTATTACCTTTTTCTTAATTGTTATTTTGAAGCACTTTACATTATGTGCCCCATCGGATATACCTGTACTGACCGATTCTGTGACCATTTGCAGTCGAACTGTGTTCGTTCGGAGTGAGATCCGTTTCTCGACCACCTGTATAATAATATTATGTGCGACCGTTCTAAAAAAGTGAAAATCTATCCGACGCCTAGCCTAACTTGTATAATATATAATACATTGTACTACTACACATAATTTGTGCCGGGTTACTCTCACGTTTGGTTTGGTCCGCCGTTTGTCGTCTGATACCCTCGAGGCTCCGAGACTGGTGACCGGGCGCAGCACACTTGCGGTGTTACGTACAGACGTACAGGAAATGTAGTAGAGCAACACACCTAACACGGTATAACGTTTACTTGCGTGGTTTAGCGTAGAGCCCTAGGAGACGGACACGGTGACCCCTCCTAGGCCGTGCAAGTCCTCTTGGCTAAGTCCACCACTTCGCCTCGTCGCACGCGTACGCACACGATCCCATTGCACACCACTCGCTTCGAGTGCGGTCGATTCCCCAGTATATATACCGGGCCCGAATCGTTGGACAGATCACAGTCAACCGCGATCGACCAAGGCATCCACTACCGACAACAACACCGTCGCAACTACTCTACACCATAAGCTCCAGAATTTCCACTCACAAGACATGTCCGCAACAGTGAGTATTTTTTTACCGTTATTCTTCTCAAAAGATAACTTTGTTAGGTCCGATTGTCTACCGTGAGCAATTCTAAAATTTGAAACACAAACTATGTGCCAGTGTGGTATTAAGTTGCTGCACCTCACCTCACGAATGCACAACCATACGACTTTTATGACACGATCTCCGCTCTTAAAAGTTTCGAAGCCGTGACTTTTTTCCGCGCACTCAGCTGTTATACTATAACAGTTTAGATTTTCATTCGATATCAACACTCAGCCGTATTATTTCAATACTCGTTATAAATTGTAATTTGAAACAATAAATATTGTATTAATTATCATTATTATTCAATCGCAGTATGTGGTCGTCCAGAAAAGCGGTCGTAAATGTCGGACCGGATGTTACGACCGGGAACACGTTGATCTCGTTAAGGTTACTACCGTGAGGACGTTAAAGCGAGCACTGCCTCCGGCAAACGAATATAATATGTTATAATATATAAAAAAAGTCCGAACGCTCTGGCACTCCGATCGCCGCCGCCCCGACCGGTTTCCGTTTTAATTTAGGTATATTATTTACTTTTACTCTTGTCGCGCCGGACAGACTCTCTCCCTATCTCTCTCTCTCACTCTCTCTCTCTCACGCATGCCGTCGGTCGTAATATTATTAAAATCAGAACGCTTTGTATCTCGTTTTGGAACGGTCAATATAATAATAATTATTAGATACCTGCTGGGTACGATTAAGGAAAATAAATCGAACAGAATAATTTTTCGACCGTACATTAGACGCATTAATACTATTAATTATTATTATTATTATTACTATCATAGTATCATGTGATAATTAAAATGATCGTATTCATAATATTTAACGTAACGCGTTTTTCAGCTGATCGTATTCGCGGCTTTTGCCGTGGCCACCACCCTGGCTGTCTACAAGGAGCCTACTGCACCCGCCTACTCATCGCACCCGGCACCCGCCTACTCGTCACATCCTGCACCCTCGGCCTACTCGTCCTCCCAGGCGCACGGATACTCCGCCGCTCAGGCTTATCGTGCAGCTCCCGCTTACCCTTCATATTCGGCACCAGCCTACCCCGCCGCTCCGGCATACCCAGCTGCACCGGCTTACCCGGCCGCACCAGCCTACCCAGCATACCCAGCCGCACCAGCATACCCAGCCGCACCAGCATACCCAGCCGCACCAGCATACCCAGCGGCACCAGCATACCCCGCCGCACCAGCCTACCCAGCCTACCACGCAGCACCTGCTTACTCGGCGTACCAGGCCGCACCAGCATACCAGGCTTACCAGGCAGCACCAGCATACCAGGCATACCAGGCCGCACCAGCATACCAGGCATACCAGGCCGCACCAGCATACCAGGCCGCTTACCAAGCAGCACCGGCTTACCACGCAGCGCCCGCTTACAACAAACCAGTGGCATACAACTCCGCACCCGCTTACTACAAACCGGCTCAATATTCCGCGCCTAAGCCGTACGCCGCCGCCTCATCCGCCGCCCCGTCGCCTTACAACTTCCAATACAGCGTTAACGACGCACACACCGGCGACATCAAGAGCCAGACCGAGTACGCTGACGCCAACGGTTACGTCAAGGGCACGTACAGTCTGGTGGACGCGGACGGCAGCAAGCGCACCGTAGACTACACCGCCGACGACCACAGCGGTTTCAACGCTGACGTCAAGAAGGAGGGCGGATACGCCTCACCGTCGCCGTCTCCGGCCACGTACAAGCCCGCCTACTGATGGGCCTTATGACTATGGCCAACGTTCGCCGAACGTCCCTAGCTCAATAATATAGCATCATCGTTACACATAATACTGTGACCATACCGAGTTCCGAGTGCGGTTACCGGTTGTCATTGTACAGTGTTGTGGTACACCACAGTTGTGATGGTGCCCCATGTGATACATTGTCGTCCTCTTACTATTATAATATTATTATTGTTATTATGTGTTTTTTGTAAATAAATTTCATACGTATAGTAACGGATAAAGTATTCATTGTCAGCTTTTGTGCCTCATATATTATATTACACTGCTTCAGACTTCCCATTGTACCTGATGTAATTCCGTGGACTGGGGTTTTCAAATGGTGTCTTGCGACATATTATATTATGTTTAGCCGATGTCACAAAAATATTTTTTTATAATGAAAATAATGATTTTATTGTTACTCATAACTGGTAATATTATTTAGTAAAGATAATTTGAATGTGTCGCCGCAAATTATTTGGACTTAAGTTAAGGTATCTTCATGAAAAAAAAAGGTCCAAAACTACTGAACCACTTTTCATTCCTCGATGCAATTACCGTGTGCCGGTTGCATGTCATACAGTATGATTGTTCCATGTGGTTTGCAGGAAAGTATATTAAAAGATACTATCCATTTACAAAAAAAAATAATAATTCAAAGCTAAATACTGCTAAGTTATAATTATAGAAAAGATTTAAAATCGTATGTTCTCGAACGTCTAAAAAAAATTAAGTATTTTAAGAACTTCTTGTATAATTGTGTATAAAATATTATATATCCTCCTATAAGGGGTATTAGTTCTAGTCCATGGTAAAGCGATAGCGATTTCTGTTATTATATTATAGCTATATACACACTATTGAACCTACTGGTATTTATTCATGGGTGGGTACAAATATTATGTATAACTAACGTACCATTGATTAAATATGTATAATAGAGTGCGGTTATCGATTGTTACCGCAGTTGTGATGTATGTATACATTGACCTATTACTGTTAACATTATTATTGTATAATATGTTTTTTTAAATAAATTTCATCTACCTGGTACCTAACGGATAAACGGGTTGAGGAGGCTTTTGTTGTACATTACAGTGCAGAATTTTCTTTGTACCAGCTACCACGGTTCTTCCATTCCTCGATGCGATTACTGTGTTGCCGGTTATTTTACCATATTTTGATTCTCTCGGGTTTTAAAAATACAAGGCATTCAACGAAAAATAAATTCTAATCTAAAGCCAAGTACCCTATACCTAGTTATAGAAAATACGTACAGTCGTTTGTTATCAAACGTTTTAAATACAAATGTACGTATTTCATACTCTTTGAAGGTATTTCCTAAGGAATTAGGTCTATAGTCCGTTGTAAAACAAGAGCACACCATAAGCTTTCTGCCATTATAAAATGTCTTAGTAAACATACAGAATATGTGCGTACACGCACTTGTTCAAGGATATATAATATGTATAACTCATCATAATATTATTATACTCATACACATGTAGCGTGTACATATTGTTATGTATATTATGTACCTATATTAGTGGCTATTACCAATGACGTATAACCAGTGTTGGGAATCATCTAGATAAAAATAATTAAATCATCTAATTATCTCGTCTACATAAATGTAATGGTTATCTGTGGTCATTTATCTAGATAAATAATATAATAATAAGAATATTTTTAAATACTTAAATAGCCAATAATATACGAGAACCGAGTATTATAGTGATTCCAATAATATTATAGTTAAAAAAATAAATGTCTACTGAAATATTGTCAGATTTATTTTTTTATTTTATTTTTATTCAAGTTGTATTAAAAATTAAAACTGTATCAATTTAATTGATTTTTTTTATCTAGATAAATGTATGTTTATTTTTATCTTTATCTAGATAAAAGAAAATAGTGTTATATTTTATTTTATCCAGATACATTTCGAATGAATTATCTGTTATCTTATCCAGATGATTTTTTGGTTATCTTTTCCCAACACTGCGTATAACACAAAGCGAACGCAAAACGGTGATCCCGCATTGTCCGATATTATTGTATCATTGTGGGCCGGTAAACGGTCAAAATGCTTAACGCGGACACTTTGTATTGTCGTGTAAAAAGGTAGATTGCAGAACGCGGACACTTTGTACGGTAGGATAAAAATGTACATGGCTGGCACTTTGTACGGTCCGGTAAAACTTTAGATTACAGAATGCGGGAACTTTGCACCCTTACATACATAAGGTGTATATTGTAAATATATGAAATATAATGACTTGTGTTTTTGAGATATTACCATATTATACTAAACAATATGTATTTTTTAAAGATTTTTTCAATATAATATTCTATTAGTGTTCTATTAGTGGCTTTGAGATATTTCAATATTATACTATACATGTAGTTTTTAAAGATTTTTTCAATATTATATTTTATTTGTCATTTTGACATATTTATATTGTACACATTTTTAATTTACTTAAACACAACTATTGATAATATAATACAATTAAGATTTATAATCACATTATTGATTGTTTGATCATTTTGATTATTATTAATAAACAACATTATATTATAACAATTTAGTTTTTATTTTTAAATTGTTTATCTTAATGATTTATATTATATATTAATAACTACTTATATTAGGCATATACCTTATATTTATAATAATATTATATACTTTATGTATATGATAATACAAAGTGTCCGCATTCTAAAAATTAAAATGAACATTTTTACTCGACCGTACAAAGTGTCCGCGTTCTACAACGTACCTCTTACCTGACCGTACAAAATGTCCGCGTTTCGCACTTTTAATGCTTGACCATACAAAGTGACCTAGAACCTTGTGGGCCACCCTGGAGTTTTTATTTATTTATTCATTCAAGTGGATAGTATTATTTTTTGATTTGTTCGGACACTTTGACCGTTGTGGTTCAATGACAATCTTGAGAGTGGACCACTATGCATCGACGGTCATAAAAATAAATTACGTACAACATAATATAATATACACCACGGCGAAGCACAATATGTCGACATCAAGACAAATCTCGATGGACGAAACCACGAACTAGAAAACTATAAATGTTTATTTTTTCGATTTTAAATAAAATTTACATCGCAACGTGAAACGTATTTTGGAAATTTCACTTTCGTATAATATATTAATATAATATATCCCATAATAGGAAATACCTACTAGGACTAGTTTCAGGATAACGGGAAAACATCGGTTATTGCGGCTTGACGACAACTTTATTAATACGAAACCAGCTCAACACGTCTTCTCCCACACTAATGGGCAATGTGTAGCTGTACCACAGATTTGGTTTGTTTGTATTAGTTTTTATTTTTTAATTAGTACACCTGTTTTATAATTAAATTATTTTTTTCTGTTTGATGTAAAACCGTCTGTATTAAAATTAAAACTCTTTTCGTTATGGTAATTTTATTTTGAACAAACCAAACTCTCAAATTTATGCATGATAAAATTAAAAAAGTTATTTAATTTTTGTTATGCTTTGAATTATTGTAACGTTCGAAACACGAAAAGAGAAAATCGTTGCAAAATTTAACGAAATTTAATTTAATTCTAAATAAGTGATATAGTTATTTTTTATTTTACAACCGATTTTTAGATGTTAAATAAAAACTTTAAAAAGTGATTATATTGCATACCTATCCGTAATGTATAAATGAAACCGATAAAACATGATTTTCCTACATCATAATATATTTTAATTTTTAACCCTATACACGTTCAAGAACCAATGTTCTCGCTTTGCCGTGACAAACACCTCTATATCAAATATACACGGTATAATTTATTATTATGCTCAGATTCTAATAATTCCCGAACACCGTATATCATTGATTAGAAAAAGGGCGTCGTTACTCTCGAAAAAGTTTGAACACTGGTGAGGGAGGGGATCTCAAAAAAAAAAAGGAAAAAATAATAAATGTAGGTATATACATATGTGTTTTTTTGAGTCTGATCAGATTTACGGTCGGCGTCCACCGTCGTGCGTATTGTAAATATATTATTATAACACTGCTGGCGTGCGTATAATATAATATATTATTCTTTATCGCGGCAGATAAACGCGAGTCGTTCGTGTTTTTTGGCAGTGACACGACACTAATAATATTATAATATCGAAATAATACGTTTTTTTTCCAGAGAATCCTCCCTGCACGTCCGATTGATTCATCGGATTTACTGATTGAGCGTATAATAAAATAAGTGTCATGGTAATATTCACGATTATTCAGATTGAGTTATGTTAAACATATATTTTGAAGACCAAAAGCTTTTGTTATATTTGTGCGACGCCAGTCGGAATTAGCTTTCAACACCCCCAATTAATAAAGCAACCGACAATAAGAATAATAAAAAAATTGAATCACTCAGCAGTGCATTGTGAAAAAAAGCAATAATTTTTTTTTTAGACATTTGATTCGGTTAATTTTTGTATTCATTAATTTGAGTGCATCGCCGAAAATATATATATATATAAAACTGAAATCAAGCCAAAGAGGAAATCTTTGTTACGGTTTGGCTTCGAAACTTCTTATCCAATTGTCATGCAGTTTTTTTAAATGAAAGAGGATATCACGGAGCAGGTTTTAGGCATAAATAAAGTCCGATAATGTTAGTCAATAATATTAGTTATCTATACAATATATAAAATCCAAATAACACTGACTCACTGATCGCTGTATCTCAAAAACTACTCAACGTATGGACTTGAAATTTGAAATAGAGGTTCTTCTCATATTTTCACAGTGAAATAAGAAAGGATTTGCCAAAATTCACATTTTAAATAGGTGCTCAAACAGGGACATTGAGATTCACGATGGAAATTGGAAATTTTATTTATTAATAGTTGCCATTGGTTATAGTCTACAGTAGAAATTAGCATTCATTTATTGGTTGCCATTGGTTATTCGGGCAGATCAAGTACAAGCTTGCATCAAATCGAATTATTGAACATTGCCTACCAGGGTGGCTGAGTTGCACTTACCGCAGCAAGTTACACCCAAAAGGAGTTCAACAATCATACATTTTTTAAGAGTTGCGATTTTTTACGAGCAACCAAATTTGTTATATTAATCCACCATATTATATCAAAATAAACTTGGTATAACTTTGATACTTTAGAGTTAAATCAGACACTTCCTTACAAACAGCACGGGGTCCGCGATCTACCGCAGGTAGATTGCCTACCTGATAATGTAGTGCTGCGATTCAGAATTTTTATTCCGGGCAACGGAAAATATAAGATAAATTATGAACACCATACACCGAATATTGAATAACGAATTGAACAAAGTTTGAGTCATATTGAGTTGATACATTTAACGGGGGACGAAGTGCACGGGATCAGCTAGTATATTATATTTCCACTTGTACTCCACTGTACATCAATGTTGTAAAAACGTTGATTTTACCAATAAATCCAAATATGATATGGTCGATATAGAAAACATCCACGACCAGTGCCATCGTAAAAACAACAAGTGATTTTAATATTTGGAGCACTATGTTTTTTTGGTTTGTTTTCATCCATCACGGAGCACATTTCAGAATCGCGTACAAGACACAGAAAAAGAATCGCGACAAAAGTATAAACTACTTATTATAATGTTATACCTCAAACACTGATATTTCAACCGGTGTGTTCAAATGATGGTTGCACTTAGTTGTGTTCCTGACGATGGGCGTAACAATTATATATAACAATGCTCTTTGCGACGATTTATTAGACTCGGAATTGTATCCACAAGACGAACAATCAATATATTTTAACGTCCGCAAATAATTATTATTTTTCAGACGCTCGGACAAGACATATCGATTCCCTCAGATAATATAACTACCGTTATTTTCGGTACCTAGCTACATCATTTTGTATGGATTGATCATTTTCTGTCAGAAAGTTATATTTATATTACTTCCGTTTTCGATTATTTTTGAGCTGAGGTTTCAAGATTTTGTGCAAGCGGGTAGGTGACGCTCGGGGTACGAACAAACATATGAATACACGTTACAGTATTTTATACTGAATTGTAATTGTTTTTTTTTATAAATTCAGCAACAGCCTAAGAATTGTTTCCAAACTTACTTGAACCACACGTTTATTATAATATTGTATCATATCAGTACCACTATTAGGCAAAACATAGGTCTTAACGTAGATGAGTCGTTTACAAATACCATAAACGTATTATTATGTCTGTAAAATTTCAATTTCAGGAGGGTAAAACACTGTTTTATAAGCACAGAATCGATAATAAATTTAAACTAACTAGGGTTGAATAAAAACAATGTACTTAGTACTTACCATAGTATGAAAACACTTTAAATTCGGAGTACAAAATATGGTAGAATATGATTTAAAGTGCGTCGAGTTTTGGGGAACGATGTTTTGTATGGATGCGGACAGTCATTATATTAATACGAATATTATAGTCACGCACATGTCTTATATTTTCAGTATAACTAGGTAAAATTTATAATGCACACTACGTCGCAAAGGGACCATTTTAATTTGTTAATCGAAAGAAACGCAACCGTTTAAATTTTTTGTTGTTTCATTACTATACTATTACTCCAGTATATACAGTATAATATTATTATACATTATTCGTGTGTATACAGTTGAAAGAGTTCATATATTATGTAGGTAGGTAAAACTAGTCATATACAAGGAAATTCACCAACCATGCTCACTCCCTTTACTATAATCATCCATTTATTCAAATTGTGATTTTGGAATTTTTAAGTTACCAATTAAAATACCATATTTTCAACTAATTAGATTTTTTATTTTATTTGAGAAGTGGCCTGTGGTGAATGGTGACCCAAAGTTTGTTTTTTCATATTGATAACGGGTGGTTCTTACTGTAAATTATTAAGGAGATCATTTTTTTTTTTAGAAATACCTAAGTATCTAATGTGCAATTAAAACTAGTATACTTATAGTTTCCAAGTTATTGAACATTATGTACCAAATATTAATACAATATAAAGTACATAATATAAGAGTTCATGATAATGAGTTTAAATATATGGTTTCTTTAATGATATGAAATTTTTTTTAATTATTACTACCTACTTAATATATTAACATTTCATAATTTGTGAAAATTCTCTGAGTATAGTAAATAAATATTTAAAGAACTCAGAAACAATTCGTTCATATTTAGATTAATATACATGGACATTTTCAATAAATTATCTTTTTAATAGTACCTAATTAGTAAATAATTTACAGTGAAAAAGGTAAGTTCTAATTTGAAAGCATAAATTTGTATGACCATTGGACACTCCTGAAATGATGCAAAATATCGAAGCATATGAAAATATTGTCTTATTAAATATACTTTAAATTCAGAAATTGAATAAATTCATTATTTTAATAAAAAAGGGGTGTGATTATTATGCTTGGTGAATCATCCCATATTATTTTATACGTATTAGAACAGTTTGTATCTGATCGGTATTTTTTTTTGATCCTAACGCGTTCGATTGAGAGATTTTAGGTTTACTATACGTATCGAAAGGGAACATTATTATTGCACAGTTTATACTGTGTACACTATGAGAGGTGGTTTTTAAAGGTTTACGGTTTCGGGTATGCTATACACAAAGATAATACGCTGGCTTGTTTCCAATGTGTGTATTGGACACGTTTTTCAGTAAACCGACAAATACATTTATCCGCGTGTTATTAAAAGATTCCGTAAAAACTAATAATGATTTATAGGAATCGTAATAGAGCGTACGTGGGTTAAATGTATACGTAGGTACCTACGTTAAAAGGTAAAAAAATAAAAAATAAAACAGCTAACACGAAATCTACCTAATGTATTATAATATACCAATACTAACTGTTAGGTATATAATGACGATCTTTAAGTGCATTTTTCACCAAAAATAATTTATTATTACAATAATAACCGTCACATATTATAATATATTGTAAAAACATTGTCATAAACTATTCAACCATTTCGCCGATGACTATTGAGGCCGTTGAACAAGTATTTCAGTCTACTTTGAGGTGAAAAATAATATTTAATGATGATATGTACGCAGGACAGATAAAGACAACCCCTAACGATATGAGAATCGCGTGCGATAAGTCTGTCTAATACACTATCGTTGTGTGTTTATCTGCTCAACTGAAAGATCTCATAATTGTACAATTTTTCGAATAACAGTGTGGACAGCGTAAAATATGAATGTATGTAACACCCATTCAAATTCGTTCGTCGTCTTCATTGATACCGTACTCAACTTCCGAGATGGATCATGATTTGTGAAGCTGAGGTTAAACGGACTCAAACATATTACAATAACACAACGTATATATAACTATTTTTTATGGGTTTTTTTTTAATAAATTTAATTTTCAATTAATTAATGCATATTACGATGGTATTATAACATAAATTAGGATAATATATTTTTCACGTTCTTAGTACTTATAACTATAATGGTGTTCTGCTGGAAACTATACTATATAGCTCGTAGGTAACTATCAGGTATTTTAACGGACGTCCAAAAATCTGGGATTATTCATAAATTACTGGTTTTTGAGCTTATCGTGTTTTCCGCCTATTGAAGTATTTGATTTCGTTATGCTATTGTAGTTCGTATTGTTTATAACAATGATAATAAATTACTATTGTGCCACAAAAACTTAGGACCTTAAAGACGATTTCCCTTTGCGCTTGGCGTAATGTCGTAGAAAAGTAAACCGATTAGCTGGGTAGTTAAGACGATGAATACGAATACAAAGCGGCCATTACACGATGACGATATTATGTATTCAGATGTACAAAACAATTGACGAAAATATCCGAACTGTTTTCTTAGAACTGTTTAATGTTAGTGTACATAATAATATTATGTATATAGTTTTGGATCGTACCCGCAAACGGTGTTGACCTATTTTACTAAACAGACAAGACGGGCCGCGAGTACTAATTTTCGTCCCATTTTCCGGCGCGTACAAATAGTCGTAAGGTCCGAGAGAAAGCCACTGATAAGGCAGAAAGGGGCGCACCGGAAGAAAACAATTAACGTCTTATTTATTATACAAATAAATAACAACGCCGAAAGCGGTATCTAAGCACAAAACACTGATTTTGTTCAATATAGCTGGGACTATTGTTATGTTTTATTATACAGATTGAATTGTGTTGGTAATTTTGTACTTTTTTTGTACCATATTGTCAACTTTTAATGACTTTATCTCGGTAGTATTAAATTGCATTCAGTCGTCATCAACGTTATTTACATAATAATTTCACTGTGCTCGTGCTCATTATAATTGCCGTCATGATCATAATAATTGTATGTATTTTAACAAGTCATAAAGTACCTATAATTGAATAATGCGTGACACCTGAAAAGTGAGCCCGTGGCAGCGGTGCAGCTAAATTGCCTATCAGAGACGCCGTGTTACCATAGTATTGTATTATTAATATTTAATACTCAAGAAAAATATCACATATTTTGTCACGCGGCACCTACCGGAAAAAAAACGGAACCAATGCTAAAATCGGGGAAAACATGCTTTGAGAGAGAACACTTAGTACAATTAAGTCGCCGAATAGAACGATACGTTGCATAGCATTAAACGCACTACGGCCTGCAAATAATGATAAGTGCCCATAAATTCGACCAGAAATAATTGATCACTGTACGCTTATAATATATTATTATAATTTAAATCGAATTATATGTATTGATTTCAAAAATGTTTCAAATAAAATGTAGATTTCTAAACACACCTGGAACACGAAATCTACGTGTGCGGCCACCGTCGTGCCGTCCTTGAGCCACGGTTCGGCAAATTTGCCCATCAGTTCGTAGATGGCAGTGACGACGCGCGTCATCTCGTCCCGACAAATTTGCCCGTCGCCGTCCAGGTCATATAGCGTGAACGCCCACCGGAGCTTGTCGTCCACCGATCCCCGGGACAGCGTCCACAGGCCCTGCACCATGTCCTGCGACAAAAAAAAAACCGTCGACGTTAGATTTACAATAATAATAATATAATATATTACATTATTAAGACATTGTCGATACATTTCATAATTGTTAAAAAATCTCCAGGGATTTTCCGAGCTATTGGTTTACGATCAAATAATCACCCTGTATATCACAATAACTTAATATTCGGACGTTATGGTCGATCGATACATATATATATATATTTATAGTGGGAATTCCCTTTAGTTTTCTGCTTACATGTCATATAAAAAAACTTAAAACCAAAGTGACGGTTGTGCAAAGAGATGCGAGTCTTTGCAAACACAAGATAGAGGCCGGCTCCATATAATAACATAGAGGATATTTACCTTGCATCATCTATACATGTAATGTCATATTGTGTTTATATGACATTGAACTTACGGTATAGGTACCTACATAATATACAAACAGTAGTAGGTATATAATATTATACGTGCGATACGCTCTACACACACGATCGGCGTATAATATATGCGTAATATGGTCACGTTTGTTCTAAGTTGCACTTATTTAAATCTAAAAAATATATGGTCATATTATCTACGATTATTATGTGCGCGATGGGTATTAATAATGGATTTCTTTCGAAATCGCTGATCGTTTCACTTTATACGATGGATAAGTAATCTCCGGAAGCAATCGATTAAAATACGTAACGATTTTTCGTACAAATATTTATAAACCTCAACTGATTGAAATCCAAAACTCATCTAAGCGTGTAAAATAGCAATTTGGATCACTGAGAGTACTATGTTATAGACATGAGAACTGTCATTGTGACGTTAAGCTGCTTTAATTCCGTCCCAGTCATTAGAAAAAAATGCCATCGCAATAATTGTTTTCCCATCGATTAATACTATAAATATATATTATGATTTATATATAGGTAATATTATAGAAACATGTGAATTGTCATGCCGTGTCATAGCGTAAACCATGGTGCAGATATTAAAATAACTTTCCAGTTTCTACAGATTAAAAAATAAATAAATAATTCATAATAATAATAATAATTATGTATAGGTACCAGTATCAATATCAAGGAATTTAAAAAATCGAATCCACTTGAAACTTTTGACTCGTTTAATATTATAATTTTAATTGGATTAGGTGTAGCGTAATCAATAATTTCATACGAGAGGTGGAAAACAAAACACCTAAAAAATTACTTCTGGTCGACAACGGGTCACGTAACTTAAGTATAAAATAAAAAAAATACACACTTCCACGATCGGAAATGTGAATAAACGTAAACTAAAAAAAAAAAAAATGTACCTATACACGTTTTGTCACGTTCATTACCGTAAGTGTTTCGGTGAGCAGACTTTGACGCGTCTACCCGACAGGTAACGTGGTAGAACGTCGGAAAAGCTTACAATTTTAAGGTCTCGAACAATGACTGACACCTGGTGTAACAAGCAATATTGACCATCTGTAGTTATTGCAGTGGTTATACCCTCTCTCACTGTTTCCAATCGCTATACACACGGGACAGGCTTTGGTATTTTTCACCTACTCACAAAAACGTTTTCCGAAATGAATTGCACACATAATTTCAGTAACACAAATTCTTCACACTTAACTGCTTGGAGTATAAAATAGCTTTTGATTTGGGAGGATCGATTGGCATGCACAGAAGACTAGTTTTTTTTTTTATACGTATAACCTATTTAACGATAATGAAAGGGAATCTTTATTCATTATAATTGTACGTATTGTTAGAGTGTTATTGTAAAAGGTCTTATCACAATACAATGAAAGAGCACTCTTGTGATACTTAAAACAAAATATAGAATGATAGTTTATGCCCTTAGCTACATCCGACCACTGTTGTATTGTTAACGTACTAATAAACTTTGAATACTTTCATCATTGTCATTGTAAAATTTGTTGCATAGGTACCGCTATATTATCGTTAAGGCAAATATGTGAATAATAAAAAGCCCGTATGATAATTATAATATTATAACAACAATTTAATGGGATGACAAGACAACTTTTGTCTATAAGGTAAAATCAGAAAGTTGAGTACTTATTGTTTTGTACTGTCATAAATTGTGTGCTCGGTAATGCTAGTATGTGTGGTGAAAATAGTATAAGTAATATAATATATAAAAAAAAATCATTAAATATCATGGTTATTAATTTAAAACAACTATAATTTTTTTTTTTTTTTATTGATCTTGAGCCCGGCAACTATAAGGCCATTAGCTATTTTTTAGTTTTGTTTGTAGGTTTTTGTTGGTAGGGGGAGGAACACTTGTGTGTTTATTTGGAAGAATTTTTGTTTTGGGCACCCGAAGGTATCTGTCATGTCCGGATGGGGGATGCCGACACTATTGTTCTCCGGACACCGTGGGACTTGTCCGAAGAAAAATGCCGCCCATGGCCGAGGTATCGAACCAGCGTTCGCAACCGACGCGTTAGTCCACTCGGCCACTCCGTCCCCAACTATAAATTTATTTGCTTTCATGTTCGTGTTTAATTTTTGTTGTCGAGTAAACTTGTATACAATGGTTTTGATTGAAAGAAAATTTGATGCACCAAAGTCTGTAATTTTGTAATACAGAAGAGAGGACACGTCCGTTGACGTCAATGGTATTATTTTGACAATAGAAAAGGTGAATATGGTAGTTTGATGAGATTGATTCGTGGGTTCAGGCCAAAAGGCAAATCATAAAACCATTTGTTGTGACATTTTAGTAACGAATAATCAACTATTCAAAATGTTTAAACAACAGATGGTTGTTGCGCTCGAGAGACATGACGTTTTCAATACAGCCCGAAACAAAAAGATGAGTCAGAATCGAGAAAGCTTGGACGAGAAGTACAAAGTTCAAAGTGACGTGAGCGACAACAACGAAAACAATAATATACTGCGTTATATAGACTTTGATGTTGTTGGAAACTTAACATACCTACTTTAATGTACCTAAATACATTTGAAAATCTTAAACAATAAATTTTTGTTTTTTATATTATTCCATTATTATTGTGCCACACTGTTTACCATGTTTATTCGTAATTAAAATAATTGAAATAAATACGAAGTGATCTATTTAATGTATGACCCTCATTATTTCAGAAGCACTAGCATTTTTGAACATATTTCTTCTCATAAATTTGAGTTGTGACTAAACAACATTTTTGGAAATAAATTATATTTTTATGTTTTCGCTCTATTAAAATGACAACAAACATTTTCATTTCATATTCCAAAGCAGAACATAATTTTTATCATGTACCTATGTACCATTCCACTCAAACTTAAATACTTGTAACTCATAAACTGCTATTCCAAATTAGATTTTGATCGATAATATATATTTTTATATTCATATTGATTTATATTATTTGAATCGAAGTACTCCTATCCTCTGCTTTGGAATAAAGAACTAAAAGTGAATGTTGTTTGTTTTCAAAAAGTAAAATGATAAAATAAATGGTAACTGTAAAAAAAGGAAGAATTATTTTAGTAGGTAAGTAAATCGTTTTTTAACAAATTACAATAAATTATTAAAAATTATTTGAAATAATAAGTGTTTTGTGTATAAGCCAGTCAGTATAAAATCAGGTAATACAGTTTAATCGTTATATTAAAGTATAATAATGAAAGAATGGTTTATACGTATGTGATGTATTGTGTTGCATAATATCATGTACATTCAGTGTAGTATACATAAATATTGTTTTTTTCTTTTATCATACAAGTGCAGTTATACGTAATTATATCACATAAACAGACACCGTCGATTGGCTCACATATTTTCATCACAACGTAATATTAAATCAGTTGCTACAGCTCAGCTCACAATAAAATGTAATCTCTCCACTGAGAAATCCACATGAAAACAAACGTGTACAAAAGATCTGGGTCCCAAAATTAGCATATAATGTGACAAGTTCGACTGGGATTTAAAAAAAAATATAAAAATAACTGTTTCCATAGACTTAAAAATCCCAAAACGATTTGGACTCGACACTATGACGGACTGATGAATTTCGCTGAAGCCCTGAATTGTTTTCACTCCCTCCCACGATACCACAAAGTTCGTAATTTTTATTATAAGCCGTCTTAACGGGGTCACTCTACCGCGGAAAATGGTAGTCTGTGCGGCGGCGCGGCGCGGCTAACCAACTAGTCATTAATTTAATATATGCAAACGGTTTGCTGCAGGTCCGCAACCCTTTTCGCATGATATACGTATATATTTTAAATGATTAGGTACATGTGTCTAATAAGATATACTCGAAACTAATCTGCACTTGTTAGAAGATATGAGTCATTAGCTACAATATATTATAATACTACGTAACGCGATTTTCCGTACACATGACTATGAACTTAGTTACCTACCATTTTTCACTTTATTATTTTAATTTTGAGAACTCAAGAGTATAGATACCATATTTTCAAATATTTACATTTTTGTTTTATGAAATGGGTGTCCTGTATATAGCGACATCAACTTCTTTATTTCAAATAAGATTCACCATTTTTTTCCCTGTAAATTGTTGAGCTGGTGAATGTTTTGAAAATTTAATTTAAATCGAAATACTAATATTTGTATTCTTGGGATATTTATATTTTTACACTTTGTGAACTAAATAAAAAAGATTCATGATAATATTGGTGCCATAAACTGGTGCTATGATGATTTTAAAATTATATTAATTCTTGTTAATCTATTATTCTTATTTCTTAGTATACAAGTTGTAGCAAATCTGAATCTACTCTTTTGAATATTTATGTAGCTGATGTATTAATGTATAATAAACAAAACAAATTAACAATTGCTTGACAATTTTCAGTAAAAATGTATGTTTTAATTTGAAAATATCGTAGTTTAACTTTCATTAAATGGCTTAAGATATTTGAAAAATATGGTTCCACAACTTAAAAATGCCAAAAATCATAATTTAAATACATTATTAAAGGTTAAAACGGGAGGGTGTAAGGTGAACCACC